AGAGAGAGAGAGAGAGAGAGAGAGAGAGAGAGAGAGAGAGAGAGAGAGAGAGAGAGAGAGAGAGAGATGGCCAAAGCTCCAGAGAGGGGGAGGGTTGAAGAGAGAGAAAGCGCAATCTGTTATGGTCCTTCCTTTCTCTCTCTTCGAGTTGTTCTGCTCCACACGGCAAGCAGACCATCTCACACGCATACACATGCGAGAAGGACAGGATAACGCACAGACATACACCCTTTCACAGCCTACACATACGAGAAGGACAACAGAAGCAGACGCGCGCGTGCGACAAACACACACACAGCGAAAGAGAGAGAGAGAGAGAGAGAGAGAGAGAGAGTGAGAGAGAGAGAGAGAGAGAGAGAGAGAGAGAGAGACGGCCGAAGCTGCAGAAAGGGGGAGGGTTGAAGAGAGAAAGCGCATGTGTGATGATGCTCCCTTTATTCCTATATGTAATTTAACTGGGCACTCTTTTTTTTGTATTTGTTCTCTCGTAACCGTTATTGTTCTTTTTTTTGTATTTTTTTCTCTCATGACTGTTGTCGTTCTCCTTTCGTGCACACTGCGAGCGCATGTGTGTGTGTGTGTGTGTGTGTGTGTGTGTGTGTGTGAGAGAGAGAGAGAGAGAGAGAGAGAGAGAGAGAGAGAGAGAGAGAGAGAGACATGCGGGAAGATGACCTAACCTAAAGAGAGGGGGAACGTGAATAAGGCATCCGATATGTGATGTCCTTTCCTTTCGTGGACGTTTAGCTATTCTTTCTTTTCCTTTTCCTGGTCCGCTTTTTTAATCTGTCCGGTAGTGCTTTTCTCCCTTCCGTTGGCTTTCGTTTATATTTCGTGCGCGCGCGCGCGCGAGAGAGAGAGAGAGAGAGAGAGAGAGAGAGTTTTCCTTTTCATTTTTGATTGAGTTTAGGTTTTCAATTTGTTCCATTTTCCTTGGTGCGCGCATTTTCGTATCTCGTGTGTGTTTTAGGTGTTCGATTTGTTTCACTTTGCTTCGCGCGCGCGCGTGTGTGTGTGTGTGTGTGTGAGAGAGAGAGAGAGAGAGAGAGAGAGAGAGAGAGGAGGGGGCTGTAGGTCGTTTTGTGTTCAAAACGTATAATTGGTTTCGTTTCCTTTTAACGGACTCTGCTTTCTTATTTCCGTTCTTTTTCAATTTTTTGCGTTTCTTTTCGTCGTGTTTATAGGCGGAGATTAACATGTTCTCTCTCTTCATGGTGGGCGCGACACACAAGCACAGAGAGATAGATAGAGATAGATAGATAGATAGAAAGATAGATAGACAGATAGATAGAGAAGATAGATAGATAGATAGAGAGAGAGAGAGAGAGAGAGAGAGAGAGAGAGAGAGAGAGAGAGAGAG